TTTAGGGTTAATAGGTGTGTAGTGTAGGTGTGCGGAACGAAGGTCATTTTGCGCGTATACGCATGCACGTGCGTGCGCGTGATATCAGTGAAATGACTTATATACTTAATATAGCTATAACTTTTACATTTTTTACTGAATTGATTTGAAACTCATTATATAAAGATATATTAATAGTGTAGATAAGGTGACACTGTCAAATTAGCACGAACTCACGCGCATCCACGTGCGCTTTGCTCTGATTGGCTGAAACAAAAATCTCAATATCTTCTCTGTTTTTTGACGAAATGCCTTGAAATTTAAAACTTTGGCATGCTTTAGGATATCCTACAATATGGTTTATCAGAATTTTCATCAAATCACGCGCATGCACGTGCGCTGCAATCTGATCGGCTTAAACTTTAAATGGCTATAACTCCCTTGTTTTTCAACCAAACAGCATGGGATTTAGAACATAGACAAACATAATTTTATCAAAAGGTAAAGTCATCATGAACATGCTTGCACGTGGATAAAAGTGCGCTTGGCTCTGATTTCAAAAATCTCAGTATCTTTTTTTGTTTTTTGACGAAATGCTTTGAAATTTAAAACAATTCTTTTGATAACTTTATCAATGAAATCCCACAATGTCATATATATTAATTTTCATCAAATCACGCGCATGCACGTGCGCTGCAATCTGATTGGCTGAAAATTTAAATGGCTATAACTCCCTTGGTTTTCAACCACTTTATGGGATTCAGAAAAATAAATATATATATTACATACATTCTCATGCACATTTCAAAACTTGCGTGCACGTGAAATGTGTAATTTTCTAAATACTCTTTTAAAGATTTGTTTTGGATTAAACAAATATTTCGTATATTAATATATCAATAGTGTAGACAAGATGATATGAAATTACGCACATATTCAAATGTTTGCCTGCAATGCTGTAAATTGAATACTTCTGGTAAATCTTTCATGCAACCAGTCTTAAATATTGTAAGGCTAATCTATTTATTCTTAAGAAAGAAATGCATGAGAAAAACAAAAGGAACTTGGGCAAGCGTTTTCATATAAAATTCAACAGTTACAATTAGCCCTAGTTATTATTATTATTATTATGTTGTTCTTATTCTTCCTGGACAGATTTTTTGTGACAAACATATATATATGTTCGATTTGAAAATTTGATAAACTTATATGTGCAAGTGAAATCCAAAATTACTGTGACTTGCAAAGCGTGCACGTAGGAAAGCATGTGTAATGACCTGATTTAAACATGATATAGGCGTAACTTTTTAAATTTTGATGAAATGCTTTCAAACATTATTAATAAAAATGATATATTAGTATATTGCAAAGACAATATGACATGGTCAAAATAGCAAAATCTCACGCGCATGCATAGCTTGCTTGTTTACCCAAACAAACGAAAATCTTTCTTGAAAGAAAAACATCCTTTGAAATTTTGAAAATAGTGATGACCGTAACAAACACATTCCAGTGAAAGATGATGACCGTGATATACTCGTAATCATAGAGATGACCGTAATCTTTTAACAAAATGATGTAAAATGTATTAAATAGGAAAACCAATTCCTGTATGTATACTGGACTATACAAGAAAATATGGTCACCATGCACATGCATACATGTGCATTTTTGCGCTAACTGATTGGCTGAAACTTTAAACAGCAAATCCCTTGGTTTTCAACCAAACGGGGTGGGATTTAAAGATTTTACATATATTTCAGCACCATAAAAACAAAAGGGAGTAATTTTATTTCGCGTGTGGTGCTTCTCGCGAAATTACGCGATAATTAATTCGACGCGTATATTTAGGAATCTACAGTACCTTTTCTATTGTTTGTGAACAGTAATTTTGATGTAACTAAGAGGGGGTGGGGGTTAGGACTGAAAATAATCAAAGAATTGTCCCGGTCCCATGCATTGGAAAACGGAGGAAACCATAGTCCAGCAAAGACGGTTCAAACCAAAAAAAGTCTTTTATGCAGGACAACAAATAATTATGTTCCCCAAACGAAGTTGGGGAACATATTGTTTTTACTCTGTTTCTTATTATTATTATTATTATTATTATTTTTCTTCTTCCTGGGAAAATCTTTTCCGCGAATGATCTCGTAAACTACACATTTGATCAAGGTGAAACCTTTTTAGGGTCACTAGGCATGTTATGTAGATTTGCGGAATGAAGGTCATTTTGCGCGCACGTGCTTGCAAGAGCGCGCATGTGCAACACGTGAAATGACTAATATAATGGATACAGCCGTAACTTTTCTATTTTTTGATGAAATGTTTTGAAACCCAGAATATAAGGATATATAAGTAGTATAGACAAGATGACATGTCAAAAAGCAAGATCTCACGCGCATGCACGTGCGCTTTGCTCTGATTGGCTGAAACTAAAAATCTCAATATCTTTCTTGTTTTTTGACAGAAATACTCTGAAATTTTGAACATAGTCATACATTAGGGAGATCTACAGCCTGATATATAAGAATTATCATGAAAGCATGTGCATGCACGTGTGCTGCCAAGAGCCTTAAACTTTAAATGGCTATAACTTTTTTTACGTGCAACACGAGAAATGTCCAATATAATTGATATAGACGTAACTTTACAATTTTTTTATGAAATGCTTTGAAACTCACAATATAAGGATATATTAGAAGCATAGACAAAAGGACATGGTCAAAATAGCAAGATTTCACGCGCATGCACATGTGCTTCTCTCTGATTGGTTGAAACTAAAGTCTTAACATCTTTCTAGTTTTTCGACAGAATCCTTTGAAATTTTCAACATGCTTATACATTATGAAGATCTACAGCATGATATATAAGAATTGGCATGAAAGCATACGCATGCATGTGTGTTGCAATCTGATTGGCAGAAAATTTGAATGCCTATAGCTTTCTTAGTTTTCAACAAAACGGGATGAAATTTAGAGTATGATTAGGTATAATTGATTCCTACATTATGGTACTATCAAAATTGAATGCACGAACATGCATGCATGCACGTGCGCGCGCAAAATACGCAAAATGACCAATATACGTAAGAAACAGTAGCATGTATATCTTAAACATTTTTTTATTTTTCTTACAAAATATAGATATGTTAATGGTTTAGACAACATGCCATGATCATCTTGCATGTGCATGCACGTGCTTGCGCGTACAATGCATTAAATGACATATAGTTGAGATCATTGTAGCTTTTATAATTCTTTGATAAAATCCGTCGATACTGATCATATTTTAAAAATGTCTTACAGGAATTAGGCACAAAAGGGAGTTGGGGAGCGTTTGGGGAACATCTGTAACGGTCCCCGTTACAATTAGCACTAGTTATTATTATTTTTCTTCTTCCTGGGAAAATCTTTTCCGCGAATGATCTTGTAAACTACACGTCCGACTTAGGTGAAACCTTTTTAGGGTCAGTAGGCATGTTATGTAGATTTGCGGAACGAAGGTCATTTTGCGCGCACGTGCTTGCAAGAGCGCGCACGTGCAACGCGTGAAATGACCAAAATAATAGATACAGCCGTAACTTTTCTATTTTTTGATTATATGCTTTGATACTCATAATATAAGTATATATTAGTAGTATAGACGTGTTGACATGGTCGAAATAGCAAGATCTCACGCGCATGCACGTGCGCTTCGCTCTGATTGGCTGAAACTAAAGTCTCAATATCTTTCTTGTTTTTCGTCATAATCCTTTGAAATTTTGAACTTAGTCACACAATATAAAGATCTACAGCATGATATATAATAATTTTCATGAAAGCACGTACATGCGTGTGTGCTGGCAAGAGCGCGCACGTGCAACATGTGAAATTACCAAGATAATGGATGAAGCCGTAACTTTTCTATTTCTTGATGGAATTTTTTGAAACTCACAATGCATGAATAAAGTAGTAGTATGGACAAGATGACATGGTCAAAATTGCAAGATCTTACGCGCATGCACGTGTGCTTTGCTCTGATTGGCTGAAACTAAAGTCTCAATATCTCTCTTGTTTTACGTCATAATCCTTTGAAATTTTGAACTTAGTCACATATTATGAAGATCTAACGCATGATATATAAGAATTTCCATGAAAGCACATAAATCAACGTGTGCTGCAATCTGATTGGCTGAAACTTTACATGCCTATATCTTTCTTGTTTCTCAACAAAACAGGATGAAGTTTAGAATATGAATAGGTATTATGGATTCCTACATGATATTGCTATCAAAATTGAATGCAAGGACGTGTTTGCATGCACATGTGCACACGCAATGCATAAAATGAACAATATGTTTGAAAAACGGTAAAATTTATATTTGTATGACTTTTTATTGATTTCTGGAATATAAGGACATGTTAATGGTTTAGACAACATGTCATGATCACCTTGCATGTGCATGCACGTGCGTTTGCGAACAATGCGTTAAATGACAAAAAAGTGATATAATTGTAGCTTTTAAAATTCTTTTATGAAATCCTGCGATACTAAGCATATTGAAAAAACGTTTTAAAGGAAATCTGCACAAAAAGGGAGTTGGGGAGCGTTTGGGGAACATCTGTAACGGTCCCCGTTACAATTAGAACTAGTTTCTGTTTGAAATAATAGTACTTGAACAATGAAACCAATGATACTTTCTACCTATCTTAATACCATTTAAAGAATCTGTTGGGACATTTGGATAGGGAGAGGGCTAAAATAGGCTGAGCCTGCTGCCAAATCCTAATCTTAATGTAATCCTATTGAGTAACACCCGTCAATATAATATTGTTTGAATTAAAACATTTGGATTTGAATACAAAAAAAAAAAAAAAAATAGGAGGTCTAATCGTAATGTATCTTAACACTTAAATGTACGTATCATATTTTTAAAAATTCATCCCAAAAATTGTTCTTTATTAAAAAAAAATTATGTGGATTCAATAAAAAGGTTTCTATATTTGAACTTTATTTATCTTTTCTTAATTACTAGTAGGTTTGTGTATGTCTATCAACATAGACTGGTTCCAAGCTCAATCCAGTTGTGCAGCGGAAAATCGAACGCTTACTACAAATAGGGCTTTGTCTAGCAGGAGTTATTGGACGGCACGTTATCAAAGGATATCACATTGGATAAAAATAATTGGTAAAAATAAAGAAAACTCCGATCTTAGAATACATATCATGTATTTATCTATATAAATGCCATTTTTGCTTTGGTAAAAACTAAATAATTATGGACTCCACTTTTAAAATCCAGAATTAATAATCAAACGAGGCATATTATATTTAAACTAATTTCAAGATTTTTTTTCATAAAATAGGTCGTGAATATATTTCTTCAATAATAACAAGTTCACATGTACACCTGGTTTTGTAAAGTGCCATAATGTGAAAGAAGAATTAATATTATATATTAGGTTGTTTCCATGAAACAGATGTTAAGCAACATGCAGCTGTCAGAGCTACGCTTGAAAACAGTAGTGCTGGGTATTGTCAAGAAATATGCATGGAATCTAATATGTCTATATTTGCAATAAAGGTATGTGAAATTCTAACTCTCTCCCTCTCGGTGTCTGTCTGTTACGTTTTGTGTAGAAGGTTGTGCGTCTGTGTATCAAGGTATTGAAAGGGCGCATTTGTTTGAATGGGATTCTAGCCGCAATTTTGCATAAATACCTCCAAAACGTGTCAAATATGTATATAAAAAAATTCCTTTGCCATAAAAATTTGCTCTTATACATGTAATATAATTTATTTACAATCCAAGTGTGCATGTAAATATATCGTTTTGCCTGTTTGATCTCAAATTGAATACTATGAATGAAAAATAAATATTAAGTTTAATTGACTTTTCATTATTTACAGAATATTACATGTCTTTGCTTAAGAAAACTGGTAACAGGAAGTGATAAAAATGCAAGCAAATGTAATTTTACATGTCCTAACAACATCGATGGTAAATTTACGAAAGAATGTGGCGGTGAGACAGCATTTAATGTATTTGAGTCCAAAAAAGGTACATTTTAGTTAGAAACTAGCGTAATTTATTCAATTTTTTAAAATACTTTTTAAAAATATTTATCAATGCATGTATCTAAATGTAAAATTAGTCGAGACAATCCTAATGTATCATAATTATGCTAATTATAAATTAAAAATTAAAATTATACAATATTTCAAACTTTTATACACTGCATTAATTTATAACTTTTTAGGTAACAATAAAACTGTGAAACTTGTGATAAAATAATCCATGACTAACGCAGGACACACTTTTATATAAAAATAAAAAATAAAAATAAAAACCTATAGAGATATAAAATTGTTGTCTTATGAATGTTTAAGTATGAGAACTTCAAACATTATGAAGAACAAAGAAGTACACAAGATCTGAGAACTTCAGTATATACGAATACGATTACAGTAATTCTTAGGCTATATGTCGGGAAATAGTTGTGTGCTATGGTACATTGTAATAATTAAGAAAGATGACTGCAAAACTTGTTAAAATATACTTAAGACACAATTATACTATTTTTCCTTTTTTTATTAACTTTGAAAAAAAACATCTTTACTGTGATTTTATTGCAAATCATTTATTATTGCAGCCTTCAGCTGTTCTAAATATCTTACACCAGGTGACTGTGTAGCCATAGAGTGTATTAATGCGGAATCCAGTTATTTCTGTCCTAATTGCACAATGGTTTTTACTGGACTATGTCAGGCAGAAGGTATTTCTAAGAAAACGTATATAAGTAGATTTTGGTTAATTAATGTAATGATGAAGCTATTTTCTAAATTTCCTTACTGACTGATTTATGTCATGGAACGAATTTTGGACGTTAATAATACAAGTTCAGTTTCATTCTCTTTCAGAAAATTTCCCAATTTCTTTTAAACGATTAACTATATACCCGCTTTCGAATTTTATAATTTCATTTTATTCCTATGAAATATTTTGAATAGATTCTACTTAAATCTTTTTTTTAAAACATGACTTGATGAATGGTTGTACAAACGAGGATTGCAACGCTCAATTTTCATATCGAGCTTAAATATTCAGGTTTCAAATCGATGCAATTTTTTTTTATCAAACTACACAACTTAGATGTAACGGCACTCTTTTTGACCGATTGTGATTCGATTATATAAAATGTTTCTGTGGTTTTTGAGTACAAAAAATTCTTCAAAATGTTATTTTCTAACATCGTTTCTTTTCATATAAAGCACTATAAAACTTTGAAATATGAAGATAATGACTACTAAGCTCTAAAGTCAAGAGAAACAATACGAACCTGGAGCAGACAGAGTTTGACATAAAATTTAATAAGTGCTAGACCAGCTGGGCTTTTACCATTATGATAATTGTTACTCGCTCTGACCATAATATCACCAGCCCTGACACAACTTACAAAACAAGTAGTAAGAGCTTTTTTAAAAAAGCTTACCGTCTTTAGCAACAACCTTAAACAGTGAACTGATATACAACTATCAGGTCGTATAACTCTTGAATTTTCTACATTAGATTTTTACTGGCATTAGCCTTACCACGGTTGTCGCTCGGTCATCTCCGTGACCTGTGACTGAGCTTTTGGAAAACCTCGGCTGATTCCGTTACCTTCTACCAACAAGAATGAGGAAAAGAATAATAACAAACTGTAAAAGCCCGCAAGAAATAAAAAAAAAATTACTTACAATGAAATTAAAGAGACTTTTTAAGTTATTGTTTTAAAAAATATCATGTTGTTAAGAATTAAATTACTGCTGATTTTGTTGTTCGTTTTGTCATTTTTTTTAAGATTGAAAATCTTGCAAAATTGTTAAGTCTTACGAAAATTAGATCATCAAAAATTTATCTCCCTTGCCTTGAACAGTATTTCAACCAATGAAATAAATGAAAATTTTCTCATCATGCAATTTCTACCAATCACAAAAGAGAGGAAGTGCACACTCCGAAGACTGTAAAAAACTTCAACTATATAATACCGTCTTCCAAGGAAGACGGTAATTACGTTTTATAACATAGGTAACATATGTAAACATGCTTGAATATAGATAACGCTACTTCAATTGAGAGTGTAAAAACTGTCCCAAAGTGTCGGGCAACTGAAATTTGTTTATGGGGACCTGTAAATATTATACATATAGCCCTCAAAGAACTTTGAACATTTTCTATTCATAACAAAGACATTATGAATACATTATTCGGTAACCTTTTCCTCATCAATTATAATTGATAGAAGTTAGATGCCTACTGCAGCCGTTTAAATGTTTTCAGATTTTTTTTTTTTTGTAAAAGACAAAGTTTTTTTTTTATTCTTACAACCATATAATCCAATTTACGTACATTTTCACGACTGTACTAGGCACTTATTTACCAGACGGTAGGTCATATGTGCCTGCTTGTCAAAACCTGTCAGAGTAGAAACTTCAGAAAGCTCTTTGTACCACGGATTAGTAAGCACCCCTCTTCGAATGGATTTACATTAAGAAAAAATGCTAGAAACAATGGCATAACAGATGCATTATTAGGGTACTTTTTTGAGCGTAAATTTTAAAATGTTATTAAGAATTTATTACAATTTTTTGGTAACTGTCAAGTTATCCGTAATCTTTTTTTCCTGAATAACATTTTAACAGCTCGTATGTTCATTTTGAACTAAAATCCATAAATAGAGTTGGAAAGGCATAACAAAAACATTTTTTTTTTCTCCAAATCAAATTTTAATTTCCCGCTTCATACACTATATTGTGTGTCTGTCCTTGTTGTTTTCTACTTGTTACACCCAATCAAACCGGTTCCTTGATGAGCATTCTGAAAATTCATGTAAATGTACTTAACAACACTATTATTTTTTTTTGTAAAAACAAGCTTTAAGCTAGTAAGAAAAAATTCCGACTGAAGGTACACGTTTTCTAGAAACCATTACATATGATTTTTTGTTATTTTTCGATATATTTCAGGATAAAAGTCATATTAAAAGCTCCCAATGGAAGAATTTTATGGCCACAACCATTTGTAAACACAATGTAAATTGAATTCATGGTTAATAACATTTCAGTTATTACATGTACTTGTAAATGTATGTATAGTCAAAAGTCATTCTTGCTTTTTAAATACAGATTTCTCCAGTGTGATTAAAGACACATTAACGTATCATGATTGGGAAAATACTATGGAAACATGTAAGGAAGATCATTTCGGATACCTGCTCGGAAACCTACTACTGTCAAATGCATCAAGTACCTGCAATCGGATAAATAACATTAAAGGTGGACTTAGGTGGATCGGGGTTGCAAAACAAAAGTATCAGGGAATCGATCGAGGTAATCAAAACCTGATCTTTTTTAACGATTGAGTATATCAGTTTTTAATTAATTTCAAAATGGAATTAATATAATCAGAGGCCTGAAGTAAATAGAGGCACATGGTATTAAAGGTAGAAAACTCAGAAAAAAATATCAAAAATTTTAACATACATGTTTAGGGAATAAAATAAGTCAGGAATAAGAATATAAAAAATAAAATATCGTACTTTAAGGTTCAGAAGGAGTTTAGTCGCGTGGCATATATAACCAGTGGGTGGGGAGAGGGCAAACACACATTTTTCTTGAAGATAGCCTGATATAGCAATGAAAAGACTTTGAAAGAATGGTTATTGAATAATTCTACGAAATGTAAATATTTTTCAATATGATTTTATTCTTTCATTATTATCATAGATAGAATATGAAGGAATGATTATTGAGTAATTCTACAAATAAATCATATTTGATTTTTTTTTTTTTTTTTTGCTTCTTTCATTATGTTCACTTTTAGAAATATCAATACTTCATATAAATATGCTATTTTTTAAAATCAATATGGCATTATACGTGAATCATGGGACCTATGCATAGGTTCTTGTAAAGCACAATGGTATACATGTGTAACGGGAGAGGAAAAAATGCAGCGGACCAGACCGGGATTCGAACCCGGGCCCCCTGAAACTCCGGTCAGGTGCTCTACCAACTGAGCTACATGTATCTGGCCACCGGCGCTCGAACCCGGCTTACCGCCACATTCCTCCCTCCTTAAAGGTCTTTGGCCCTCCAAAGACCCCAACCCAGGCTCATCCCTGGCAGGTTTTCACCTGTCAATTCCAACGCATGGCACGGCACCAAATGTAACGGGAGAGGAGAAAATGCAGCGGACCAGACCGGGATTCGAACCCGGGCCCCCTGAAACTCCGGTCAGGTGCTCTACCAACTGAGCTATCTGGCCACCGGCGCTCGAACCCGGCTGACCACCCCACATGAAACGGAGAAATGAATTAGATGAATCTATTGTTTCTGACATGAAATGTTCATATAAATAATACGTACTGAAAAAGAACCCAGTCGGGTGTGGTATATGGTATACGAAGAAACAATTCAATTACGGCCGATCGCGATTTACTCCGATATTTTTGTTAAAATGGATATATTTACATTTGCTAATGTCTTTCCTTATATGACAATATAAATGAAATTGACGTTCAATTTTCAATGACATGCAGTTGGGCAAACCGCACGAGACTATTAGAAAGTCTTGACTGTGACGTCATATGACGCCGTAGTTACGTTATGTTGCATTTCTATAACAATGTCCAACTAGCGCCTATTTTTCCTTGTAACATGAATAAAAATAAAATATAAATATAAGAAATAAAATATCATTTTTTAGAGTTTCATTGGGATGTGACATGAAGTCGGTACGTGATCAAATTTACTATAACGCACTTCGGGCGTTATAGAATTTGATCACGTGACCGACTTTATGTCACATCCCAATGAAACTCTAAAAATGATATCTTATTTCTTAAATAATATCTTAGCGGTAAAAATTGAACTCAAAATATATATGTTTTGAAGTCGCACGAGACTATGACGTCACTCAAACGTTGTAACAGAGCTCGTCAAAGTTTACTGAGACAGCAGAGCGTCTGGTTTAAGAAGTCTTTAGGTCTTGTGCAATTTTTAACAAAAGTATTTTAGATTTTTTTTTTCTTTTAAGCCTTCTACAAACTGCAAGCCTTTTTAAATTTTATATTAATTATTTATTCACCATTGTCTCAAGAAATCCTGGTAACAAAAGAATTCTGAGGGGTTTCACACAAAACGTTTTTTGATGTATACATGTATTTCAGTCAAATTTTTCTTTCTTCTAACAAATTTTTGTATTGAGCTCGCATCGCTCGCTATTAAACCATTTAAATTGAAATGCAACGTCAATGCAGTTTTTTTCATCAGTCATTTCATAATATTTATCCAACATTTTAAACATGTAACAACAACCGATTATTTCACGTTTCGAATCACCCTTCCTCGTGAAATCCCCCCCCCCCCCCCCGAAAGGTGGCGCGTGTTAATAATTGCTTTTCTTTTTTCACTTTGACATCTTACTAATCGTTTTATTGGGCGAAAAATATAAAATTCCTTCTATTTCTACATAAAACAAGCTAATTCAAAGAATTTGTGTCCCCCGCTTAAAGAAAAAGTAAAACATGCGAAGTTCAGGGGGAGGGGGGGGGGTCGGACCCCCCTCACTGGATTTGTAAAATTATTGAATGTATACATGCATGTATACCGAAGCAATTAAAATATACCGTTATGGATATAAAGATTTAATTGCTTATTCTTTATTATGTGTATTGATTGATTGATTGTATATTGTTTAACGTCCCTCTCGAGAATTTTTCACTCATATGGAGACGTCACCGATGCCGGTGAAGGGCTTCAAATTTAGACCTATACTCGGCACTCAGGGCCATTGAGCAGTGAGGGTTCTTTATCGTGCCAACACCTACCGTGACACGGGACCTACGTTTTTAAGGTCATATCCGAAGGACCCGTAACTTTCACTTCTAGTGCCGAGCGCTTGGCGAAGGAACAGTCACTACCTATGTTTTCGTCTTAGGTATGATGCGGCGCCGCGATCGAGAATCGAACCCGGGCCTCCCGATCTCGAAGCGAACGCTCTACCAATAGGCTACCGTGACCGGTGTATTATGTGTAAAGAAGATTCTTTTTATATGGAATATTTATCACACTGTAATGATGATTTTATGAGTTTGTACAAGCCAGACCTCGTAATTTTTTTTTTCATTTCGCGTGCTGAATACTATGATTTAGTAAAAAAAAAAGTATTTCTAAAAAAATTATGTAGTCCGTCCGGGACTTGAACTCGGAATCTCTCACATGGGAATCGAGAAACATACGACTAGACCACGGAATCGCTTTACATTGAGTCAAGTATATGCAGAAGTGAAGTCACATACATGTATATATTCATGTTCGGTATTGTTAAAATTTTACACAATCCATGGTGTTTGATTTATTTTGCCTTTATTAAACAGTTCTAATAGATGTAATAAGTCCGCCGAAAACCTGTTTTATACGCAAAAACTTTCCTCTGCCCCTGTGCTAAAAATAGCGAGATGTAATATTATAAATACTAATTTTATTTTTTTATTATTAATAACAGACGGACGGACGGACAAACCCAAATTAATATCCCCCACTTTTCAAGCGGGGGACAAAAAAAGCACACACACACAATCATCATGTTCCCAATGTTAGAGATGTGTCATATTACAATTTTCAGGTAAGCTTGTACTTTCAGTAAGGCGTGATATTGTCGAGGTTACATGATTATAATCTTAAATTTACACAGCTTTCATTTAAGGAATGTTTTTAAGTTTTGTGTGAGTTATTGGTGTGTGAATCACACAGACCTGTCCAGTAGGGATATTTCATGAATTGCGCTAGCGCTGCATAAAAATATGCCTACGTGAAAGTTGTGAAAGTCTGTGTGATTCACACACCAATAATTCACACTGAATTTAAAAACATTCCTTATATTTAATTTTTATAGAATACTTGATTCTGACTGGATAAAAAATTCTTTTGATAACTGCATCAATAAAATCTAGAGTTCGCTTGCACTAAGCAGCCGGAAGTACTTTGGCAGTCGTTACATGTATATTCCCGCTTCTATATTACTTTTCGAAGGAATAATCAAATACTTTTGCTTTAATAGATATTTTCCTGAATGTCGGAGCCTGTCCGTTACGTTCCTGACTTATATTCTACTTTCATTTCATTCTGAATTGTCCCCCTTTGCTAAACAAATCAAATCGTATGCATGCAGACAATACAGTTTTTGAAAGGAAAGGAAATAATTGTTTAATCGGTTTACTTTTCTTAAGGATGTATTCTTATGATACGCAGAAAAGTGCATGTTAGTGTTCATCTAAGAGAGATTCGATCCGTCGAACATAGACCAAAATAGATCATGGGAAATTTCATTAAAATGCTATTAGACCATAAAATACCCCATAAACTTATAAATACAATCAATTTAAACTTAATTTTGCTTGGATTTACTTAAAAGTATTGCAAAGTTGATTTTTTAAAGCAAAATATGAGCAAATAAATACCAATTAAATAACTTGTACCCAAAAATGTTGTTCACCAGTGTCAAAATTAGGCGAATTTTTCCTTATAAAATTCTTCGAAAAACCACAGAAAAAGCATATATTACTACAATTAAACTTAAAAAAAAAATGTTGTAAAGTTTCTTTAGATATTATGGCTCCTTTTCATAGCATGAAAAGTAGGGATTAGTGTACATATAAGAAAGCTTTGATATTTTTTATATCACCACCCCCTATTTCTTTTCAGCATTTAATGAAAATAAATCAAGGCATTTAGGCGTGAATGTATATGTTTTCATTCACCAAAAATTCAAAATTTGTGTGATAATTTCAGGTAATAATTGCAATTTTGTTAAGAAAAGCTTTTTATGAACAAAAAGTAATCAATTAACACATAAAACTTCATAATAGTTTGTTCGATGTCCTCTCTGTATTTTGCCCTGTGGGTTCCAATTGGGTCCTGGTTTGTGGTGTTGGATGATGGTTTCCCTGGGATTAGTCAAATCCAGTCCCACTTTCTCAATCTGATTTGCATGGTTTTCTCCATCCGATTTTTGTGGTTCGAAAACCCTGCTCTCTTCTAAAGGTACCGTTCACGGTAGCTCAGTCGGTAGAGCGTTAGCTCCGTGATCGGGAGGTCGTGAGTTCGCATCTCGGCCGCGAACGACCTAGACGTTAAAATGGGTAGCAACTGTTCCTTCGCCATGCGCTCGGCACTTTGAAGTGAAAGTTGCGGGTCCTTCGGATGAGACCTTAAAAACCCAGGCCCCGTGTCAGCGGCAGGCGTTGGCACGATAAAGATCCCTCACTGCTCAATGGCCCTGAGTGCCGAGTAGAGGTCAAAATTTGAAGCCCTTCACCGGCATACGGTAACGTCTCCATATGAGTGAAAAATTCTAGAGAGGGACGCTAATCAATATACAATAAATCAATCAATCTTCTAAAGGTTTTCATCTGTGATTCTTGTGACAGCAAGACTTACTTGAAAAAAAAGATATTTTAGAAAAAAAAAAATTACTGGTAATATCATTGTTAAAAAAAAATGTAAAATCATTATTTTGTCTATCTGACTTTGTTTTATGAACCTTAACCTGTAGTTTAGAATCAAATAATTTCTACATGTTCTATGATGTTTCAGAAATATTCCACTTTTTAACCCGCATAGGCCGCCATAGAAAGAAGCGACCTTGTTTCTTATCGAATGTTAACAGCTAAAAATTATAGATGTTATCTTATTATTCTTGTACGGTATGTCTATAAATTTGGGATAGATATTCTGTATTTACAATATCAAAGGAAATTTATCATATACTACGAGCTAAAGATTTACGAATGCTGTCGTCTGAACGCATGTGAAGACCCCTTAGGCCTAACGTTCCGTAATGGCCAATTGACGGTCAATTGACCGTCAACTAGTAGTCAACTGAATACTCCGATTGAATCCTAACAGTGCTTTCGAGAATGTATCTGTAGGCCTAATTGTGATATCGGCAATTTTTTAAATGTTTTAAATTTCTGTCGATACTGGCTCCTTTAACGGAGAGCCATTCGGCATTCCTGTCGCTTTGAAACGGGCGATCATATGTACATTTACAATGCTTTCACACTTATTGAAAATAGCAATGTTTATGCATTATATATACAAAAGTATCAAAACACACACACACACACACACACACACACACACACACACATACACACACACCCTCACACACACACACACACACACACACACACACACACACACACACACACACACACACACACACACACACACACATATATATATATATATATATATATATATATATATATATATATATATATATATATATATAGAAAGCACAGAGAAATTCACTTTTACAAGGATACTCACTTCCGCCCCAGCCCGGGGTTGAACTCTCGACCTACGGAATCTGTCTCCTAGCAGTATAGGAACAGCGCGTTAGACCGCTCGGCTGTCTAGGCAAGTTAAAAAACCTTGCTTTCGATGCCGATGGAATTCTCACAACGCTGCCCTACACTACACGGTCATTGATTATTGATCATTGATTAGGCCAAGCTTAACTAAGAATCGTACTAAAATAAAATTATTGAATAATTTTCCTGAGGTATTGGCACAAGCAGTGGTACAAAGTCTAATAATTTCGAGAACGAGCTTATCAATGGCCTTTATCACTTTACTAATCAGTTTGTCTTTTCCACTACATTTTAGGTAACAGAATTGATACTGAAGAAAAAGTAAACTTCATCAAATGTGAGAAGTGTCAAAGTTATGGATGTTCTTTCGTCAATTGCAATCATGAAACCCAGAGTATTTTTTGTTCAGATGTAAGGATGTATTATAGATTTTACTATGCAGCTTACCTCTACTATATGTAACATATTTTCACTGTTTCAAATAATTACTGAATTTGATTCATTTACCTTATAATTTATGTAACTGAATTTCATTCTTGACAAATTCTTTGTTACAGTTTACAGGAAGTTGAATACTATTTGTTATCTCTATATATTTCATCCAAGACAATTTTGATGAAAAAAAATTATTGGAAAATCAATATTCGGTACTATCATAAACATTTCAAAAAGGAAGAAATTTACAAACTGCATATTTTAAAATCATTTCGCTGGACAGTGAAAAAGACGTCAATAAAAAAGTTACCCTATTTAACATTTTTGATCAATCATCAAACAAGTTGCTGAAGTTCGCGAGCGGAGGTCACGCCGGCATAAATTAAGTACAAAAACACAGACTTTTTTTCAGATACCTGCAATATTTTTCAAAGATTTACATCGAACTTGTTAACCTGAATAATGTTTACCATGTATATATAGTGGGTGAATTTTATACGATTTTGTCATAAAGTAAAAAAAATTCCAAATTTTGTTAGATGTAATAATTATAAAAAAAAATTTTAAAAAGCAAAACAAAGTCTCATATCTATGCAGCAAGGAAAATCTACGATTTCTTCATATTTCAGGGATTTATTATTGATGTCATTTCAAATCAAAATTTGTCAAAAACATATATCAATCCCTGCATCATTTTTTGTGTTAAGTACCATTAAAAATGCTTTTAGATTAGATATTTAGTCATCATTGCTGAAATATTAATGAAAATGCATCAATATGTTTTGAACGAAAACTGTATGGGAAAATGATAATTATAGTGGACATGAAACAAGATAATTATAAGAAGATCTTCCGTCTCAACGAAGGCCCTTAATAAAACTAATGAATTGTTTATTGTAATCATTTACTTAAAATACTGACAAACATTAAAACTTGAATCTAACCGATTTATAAGAAATAACGCAAAGGAACGGTTTCTTTTCTAAATTAAATCCGTAACATAATTATCGAATTTTTTTTTCAATATTAGAAAAACTTTTCAACATATCCTCCTCCTTCCATGACAACAAAAAGTGTGACAGCTACAGAAACAACAAAACCAACAGCAGAAGTAACAGCAACAACAAGGATGACAACTAGAACTCAATTTACACATTCATCGCCGACAATAACAGTAACGGACACAACAGGAAGAGTCGATTTACTTAAAAATAGCACCTTAAACCTTTTACAAATGAAAACCGGAGTACCAGGTCAGAAAACTTTGTTCCGAATTTTGTTCCGAATTTCATTTTCCTTTGTTGAGATTTTCCTTGATTGTTTAGACCAGAAAAGATACAGCTATACAATTTTCGTGAAACCTGTTAATCATTTCATGAGTTTGTAGATAATTGAAAGGGGAAATATTCTTAAGGGTGATATTTTTACACTGAAAGAAGTAAACATATTTAACATAACAGGAAACCATGTAACCATTTACCTGTGTTTGCTGGTCATATAATGTTAAAATATATGTTGGATTCTGATAACAAAACGATCAAAATGTTATAGTAACCATTCACATTTATCTTTTTTTTCAATTTTGTCATCGGCACGATTTTTTTTAATACTTATCAAGGCTAAAAAATTGTCGATTAAAAGAATTTCCTCTAAAGACTGAAAATATAAAATACTTTTATTATATATAATTATACTCCTACCTTTATTACTATTTATAAAATGATTAGGATAAATAAGGTAGCTTCGAATTCCTGCAAATTAACTATTATCACAAATTTTAGAAAACAATCTATATTACCAATATCCATTAATATTTTATAATCTATGAAAATGCACATTATGCAAAATACTCATGCAATATTTGAGGTAATGATGAAAGACTAGTGTGTGTTTTTTGTGTTGCGATATTTAAATTTTTTGTATGCCCCTATTAAAAGATTTATTCAATTCATATATTCCATTTAAAATGTATAGAGTGCATTGATAAAATATATAATCTATTGAATATATTCCTTTTTGTTGAAAAAATCTATTCGTTTCGCAACAAATGTATGAATCACAGAACAGTTTGTTCTTTCATTTAAAAACAATCCTATCGATTTGTTTTATTATACACTTTTAACAGAAATATCAGCTATTGTTGTACCCATTATTATCATCCTTTTGGGCATTAGTTTTGGTGGAACAGGATTCATTTTATGGTTTGTGTTTTTTTTCTTCGATATTTAACATCATTATTTTTAATTGCATATTTCGAACTCTTTTATCGTAGAGTTCATGAGTGTTTGAACTTTATTGTTCATTTAATATCCTATTATAAATGCACATGTTTATCATTGATATGTTGAAAGCAATCGTGTTTATTTTCAGGAGACAAAGGAAGGCCACAAGAGTAAATAGACCCGAGAATCCACCAATTTATCTAACTGCAAATCAGATTGAAAATGAACACGTCTATAATGAAGGGGGCAACATTAGCAACCGCGGTGATCTTAATCTTGAACCTAAATCTTACTATGAAGAAATCGGTAATGGAGTTCAAAAGGCAGAGAATCCATATACAGAACTCAAGGAGAGAGAATATGATAACCTGGAAATTGACAACTGCAGAAGGTGAGTTATAGACATTGACGATTGTGGCGAAACAACAAGAAATGAAGTCAAATAGTTGAAGAGGGGAATTAATATGCATTTTAATGTAACTAATGAAAAAATTGCCTCCGGTATTAACATTACAGATAATACATGTACTTATTGCTCAACAATTTCGAAGCAGTTGGAAAGCTCTTCAGATCATGATGTTTCAAACCACAAGGAAGATTTAGAAAATACCTGCAAAGGAAAACACCTACATTGTGATTCAAATAAGGATAATTCAGCATTGAAATATTTGCAAATGTACGAAATCATTACGCTTGAATTTGTTTAGACTGTTAATTTTTCGTTTTAAATGTGATGTTGATTTAATTGTACTGAGGAAGTTCTTAACATTGAGCTATCTGCAAGGTAAGGAGATTCTATTTTGATAATTTTGTTAAATTAATAGGAAACTGATAGAGTTTACTTAATATAACTCTGAATCTTGTTAGCAAAAATATTTCATAAGTTAACAGAAGGACTTTTGATAGTTTATTTTTATTTTTATCAAATAAATGTATCAATATGCATTTGAATATGCAAGGATGTTTATGTCTACTTAATTCACACGTATTTTTAGAAAAGGAGATAAATGATAATCTTGATTGTAATCATTATAACATATATCTGATTGCAATCTAAGCTCAGTTTTTAATGTTTAGTAAAAATATCATTCGTAGTGTACATTGTTTTAAAAAAAAGATAATCACAATTTATTACAAATATTTATATAAAGGCAATACTCAATAATTCATTTGATTTTAATATTTATAGTTTAACTTCATATCTTGGATATAATTATTCTAAATGTGGCTAGTACGCTTGTTTTAATTTCTGGAGGCAAAATAAAATAAAATATTTTTCATATGTATGCTTTAAATTATTTTAACTATTACATATAAAGGATGTTGTCAATGTGAAAGGTAGTTAAAAAGTCAAAAATGTAAATATAAGTAATAAGTTATCATGTTTAAACATCTATCGTAATATACCGGTTGTACGAGATAAAACTTAACATGATAATGGAATTTGATATCATTATTAAATCATTTTCATAAACAGAATAATATTTAAAAATGATACCTTACTTCATTCTCAAGTGAACGCAACTCCTTCTGCTCTGAGTGTAATATGATGTATTCAGATGTATACATGTATGTATAAAATTATCTGCAAAAGAGATAAATATTATTTTTAAAACTTCCGTTCAGGAAAAAAATGCAAAATGATTAAAATTGCTGATTTATATTTTTGATAATGAATTTTAATCAAGGTATTTAATTTTATGATAAAACCTTTAAGAAAAGAACTGCTATTTATTCATATTTTTCTGTTCATATTAACACATATTTCTGCAAAAAAAAAAAAAAAAAAAAAAAAAAAAAAAAACACGATAGCTCTTTATGCTAGGGTGTTTTACGTTCCGATTGAGCGATGATCCTGTAAAAGTATTTAAAGACAGATTTTTGGTGAAATAAATTTTGAGAACTTAAAAAACATAGTAAAATATTCTAGGTTAATATCAATACATGTATACATGTAAAAGCATGCCCTTTTTTCCTTTTTGTGTGGATCATATTCAAAAAGCCCAAAGAACTTTTGGACAATTTGAAATAACTGTATTTTACTAAAATCAACAGCTTAAAAGCTTACGACTTTTTAATTTTTAACTTTATACACACCAATTCCCCACGTTGAATTGAAGTCCAGGAATTTTAATATCATTGACAGCTGCTTTGTCGATAAATTGTAATTTTACTTACCTTGTAATTGATAATTCACGAAATTATTTTGTGAAAACACATTCTGATTGCACAACAAGTACTCTGAAGTTGACATCAAAAAGATGCTTGAGTTTCTAATGAACCACATTTATGTGTTTTTCGGAGACCAAGTCTTCCAACAATCTATTAGAGTTCCTAAAGGTACAAATTGCGCTCCGTCATTATCAGACCTATTTTCATATTCATGTGAAGCAGAATTTGAGCAAAATCTTATGCTTGAAAAGATAAAAACACCTGCTATGGCCTTTAACTCGACATTAAGGTACATGTACATGTACATGTATATCGACGATGAATTGTCAATAAACAAACGTTACTTTCGGTCCTATGTCGATCTATATATCCAGTTGAGCTTGATATAAAAGATACCACAGAGTGTGACACATCTGTGTCATACTTGGAAAATCGTTAACGGTAATTTAACAAGGTCCATGATAAACGTGATGACTATAACTTTTCTATCGCCAACTTGCCTTATTTATGCAGCAATATACCATCATCACCTGCATAAGGGGTTTATATATCTCAATTGATTCTATACAAAAGATCATGCTTTACGTACATGTATGAACAATTTGTAAAAGGAAGTAAATTATTGGCAAATAAATTGATGAAACAAGAATATCAGCATTCTCGTTTGAATCATCATTTCATAAGTTCAGTGGTCGATATAATGACCTTGTCAGCAACTACAATTCATCATTGAGTAAAATGCTGACTGACGTTTATATATTAACAAGTATACTACCAAGTCAATTATTTATACACTGAATTGACGACAGATTTTCCCGTTATTTCCCGGTCATGACAAGGAGCACACGGTGAGTGTGACCGGTAAGCAGGGGAGGCTAACTCCTCCATAGCATCTGATCCCACCTCTGATGTTTGGAGGTCCGTGTTTGCTCTGTTCCTATTTTGTATTGTTTTATGGATTTTGGGCTTGAATACTATTCGTTATCTCCATATCCTAAACAAAGAGTATATATATATATATATATATATATATATATATATATATATATATATATATATATATATATATATATATATATATATATATATATATATAAGAAAGTATTGTACATGTAAATCGACTCTACATCGATACGGATGCAATTCAATTCCGTTTCGCAGAAGACATTACCCACAGACAAACACACACACAAACACGGCTTATCTACTGCACATATTCTCCAACTCCATTGCAAGGCATAATAGTAATGACTCACTTGATTGTAAAAATACATGATTTATAATAGCATTGATTTCTAATCAACTGTCAGGTTTGAAAATACCATGTATTTATGTAATGAAATATTGTCTTTATTTTTTTATTTGCTGTTATATAGATATTAATAAAACATTGAACAATTTATTGATAGAACAGTTACAGATACAAGGAATTTATTCAACAGGTTTTCCAAATATAATCAAGATATGTTTCATTAAAAACTTAATAATAGAAACCTCTTCACATACCATATAAAATGATCTAAATGACACACATGATGATTCTAATATTTTTTCAATGCATATACATGTATTGTTTAAATAAGGATGATTATTTATTTTTCTCTTCTTGTGTCAAAAAGAAAACATACATGTACAGTGACGTCAATACTGTAAGATTGAAATTTAATAAGCCAATAATCATTTCTACAAGCATTGAATTTAGAAATTCGTTAACCTGTGGCATATCAACGCTGAAGTGATCACAAGTTTAGAACATTACTCAAACCTTTTCGAAGTATTTTGCAAAAAGGTCTGTACGAATTTATTCAGAGGTTGGATCATGTGCCATAGAGAAGTAAGCATGTCTTGTCAACAGGTAACACAAATCGTATACTTCTTATATTAATCAGGATTAATACAGTTAAATTGTAAGTGCTACTACAAAAATGTAATGGGAGACTCATCTTGATATTTATCTTAAACAGTTCTATAGATAATAAATATTAGCAGTCATATTATGCAATTTTTGGCTTGCCACCAGGTTGCCGAAAAATAGCTCAATCATATATTGTGTTATAACAGAATTGACCATGATTTATAAAAGCTATTGGATGTGTATTAATGTATACATAATTATGCTATGATTAAATAAGTATTATAACTAGATTTATATATTTCCCTAGTGGCATCACCCAGGTGATAAGTAGACTTTACCTTCTCTAAATATTATCTCTATCTTAGGTAGGTCTCTTTCTCTCTCTCTTCTCTCAATCAATCAATCAAAGCTTTTAAGATATGATGTGTATTTAGAACAAAGTGATGAATTTATGAATTTATGATTAATTAAGATAACACACTAATATCGATAGAATAACTATTACATGTACATGGCAAAGGATGCTTTAAATGAAATACAAGTCTTCTTACAATTTCGTTTCAAAGTCAGAAAGTACATGCTATAAGTTATAAAATCAATACCATGTTCCTGAAAAAGAGAGTTATTGTATTGTAAAAGAACACACTATACATACATATAGATTCCTGTCTGACCTAATCATGATCATGCTTCTTTTTCTCTTACGAAAATTTAAGTTCTAATACAATATCAGAAACTTTATAAATTATTTTCCTTAATCAGTTAATAATAACTCTTAAATGTTTCTAAATTATTTGTTTTATTTAACAACGGCTTTCAACGATTAACCAATTTTTAAAATGTTTAATTTCAAATTCTACGTTTTCAATCCATGAACTACTTTGAATCCTCCTGTGCAGTACCCATCGTGTAATGCTTGCAATCTTTTATATTTAATCCACGTGCCTACTACATGTACATGTGCATGTTCTACAACATTTATTAAATATGCTACATTTTGTACGAAGTTTGAGTAAATAAATTTCTTAAGTTGTTGTCCCAATTAAAAAGCTATCATTGTTGAAGAATCCAAGATAATATTATATCAAGAAGTAGACTGAGGGCTATTTAGGAATTAGTTCATTGCCACATTATTCAATATATACAATACAACTTCAATATAGAGATTAGTATTTCAATTGTGGCACTACATTTGATAGTTTAAACATTCAACATTGTATATTCAGTATGTGAAAAATGATAATAATCTAAGTATATCTCAGACATAATCATATAAATTTAAAGCAATTGTAGATAGTAAGGAGGAAGAAAAGAAACAAGCAACAAATACTCCTTAAAATAATAAAGCTGTTTTTGATACATATAATGTGAATTAAGACTGCCAACATCAAGAAACAGGATGAAGGTAAGTACTTTTATTCTTAAACATGAGACGTCTGCTTATACTTAGCTTATGTTATTCATAGAAAGGAAAGAGGAATAAATAAGCACTTGAGAAACAGAAAACACAGACATAAGATGCCAAAAACATTTCATGATATATCAGGTTAAAAAAAAAGAAATGATACCATATGATGTGCATGTAAGTACAAAACAATGTGCGTAAGATTCATTTACATAAATCACCCAAACTTAACTGTAGACAGAATTGTGGAAAATTGTTTATGCTTGAACTCTCTACATAGTAATGAAAGGTTTAAAGAAGCCCGATATGCCTTAATGTTTTTAAAGTCATTATTTAAAAGTGGAATTGTCATATAATAAAAGAACGTTTACATTTAGCTTTTTAGCTTTTTATTCAAATAATTCACTTATTGTTTTAATAATAAAAAAAGTCATAAAAATCTAAACAATATTATTTGATTTGATAATTAACAGGGAAGTGAACTGTTCTTATCATATTAAAATTAGTAAAATTAGAGCTGGAAAATAAACGTGAACAAAAATGTTAATTATGAGAACATCGAAATCAACCAAGTTCCCGCTTTTAAGCACTTTGTTTTTTAAGGAATTTATAAGGGGGGGGGGGTATATAAGCTAGTATGTATTATTTTTATACTATAGAATAATTATATAAATTGTTACTAGATACACGTACATGTATTGGCATAGGAGCATATATCGATTTTTATTGATTTGAATAATGCAAGAAGCAGTAAGGCCTTGAAAATCGTAAAATCATATGTACAGGAAAATGAATTTCTCCGGGTTACCCATCTGTGCCCCAATTTGACCATGATTGCTTGTCTCATTCGAAATATACACATGTGCAATTTAGTATGACTTTATTGATTATCTTTCGAATTATACATATCACAGCGATTTAAAGGAGGAATATATAATTAAGAAAATAAACAATAATAATGCAATTTAGCATTGTAACATTTTGATCCTGAGCACAGGACAGAATGTTTTTTATAAAAAGAAAATACTATTTTTGTTAATTGCAATGCGTCAGGATTTAATATGATTTTCAAAAGCACAAAAGTCAAAGGTACAAGAGCAGCTAAATTTTGAAATAAATACCATGATATGTCATCCTCTTTATAACATTTTCAATTGATTTTTTACAAACACGCTTATTAATGTATATACCAGAAACACGCATAGGGAAGTGAAGCTGATTCATAATACTTCCCTCTAAAAAATAGTTTAATTTGATTCTGAGAGAAGTGCGGAGTCCTACAATATAATATGCAGGTTGGTGATTTTTATTTCCATTTATTATGACAATAGCTTTGATTGTGGATCCGTAAATATATTTTCTCTAATTAAAGAATCAATACAAATCAAACTCGAAATTCCTTATTATAAATTCAAAAACTTTGACAGTGTAACATGAACTAATAATATCAGACATGGGATCGGGTGCTATGGAAGGGTAAGTGCATGTATCCGCTGTTGACCATTCACATCGGCCGATTGCTCCTTAAAATGATTTGAAAAAAATATGAAAAAAAACTCAAAAATTCATTTATTGATAAGCATGAGTAAAGCTGTGGTTAAAAGCACAGGAGTTCGCGTACCTATCAATTTTACCGAAATTTTCAGTAAATAAAAAAAAATACGAAATACCTATAATAATAACACAAGGAGTGCAACCGTTGTCCGCGACGCCATGACGTGACGTCACGGGCGGTCCATTTACCCAAAAGGAACCAAAAAAAAAACAATCATACACAATTATCTAGAGATAACGATATTACGTTTAGATACGAGTACAAGTACTTGTACCTCCCCGTTTTAAATTTTCTTGAATGTCTACTAACTTGTCTCTGGTTTATTTTCGCATATGACCTCAATCATCTAGATTAGCATTTCAGGCAGTTTTGTTCCTTTTTGGGTAAATGGACGCGCCCGTGACGTCACGTCATGGCGTCGCGGACAAAGGATATTTGAGCGAAGTTGTGGAGAAATGTCACCGCTGCTGCTGTTAAACATGAGTTTGAAATCTTATGCATTAGGAGCCATAAAGAATGGTCCTTTCCAAAAAGATTGGTTTGTGTTTTATAATTTTCGATTGAAGATTAATATGTGCGACAGCCTTGATTATTAAGCGAGGGGTACCCAGGTGACCTAAAATGCGTTGCACTCCTTGTGTTATTATTATACGTATTACGTATCTTTTTCATTTACTGAAAATGTCTGTAAAATTGATAGGTACGCGAACTCCTGTGTTATTATTATACGTATTACGTATCTTTTTCATTTACTGAAAATTTCGGTAAAATTGATAGGTACGCGAACTCCTGTGTTAAAATGTTTGGTCCAGAGTTATGGAGTAAAATGTTGTCCTTATGTTGTGGGTTCGAATCACACTGCGGAAATTGGGGACCGGTATTTTCAATGCCTACGTACATATTGATGTTTTGTGTCAAAGTAGGAACTGCACAAAACGATCCCTCACTGCGCAATACCGTGGGTATTTAGCACGTATCTAAAATTAGAGAACTTCACCGTTAAGTGGTAGCATCCAAATATGAAAAAAAAATCTCGACGGATCATTATACAAAAAAGAGAAAAATGACAGACATACAAAATTCTGGCGCTGGTGATGATGTCACTTTGTATTACATGTTCATATACTTACATGTCAATTTATTTTCATGGAGGTTAATTCATTAGATATGGCTATTCAATATCGATCAATTTTCTTGACTTAAAGATTCCATTAAACTATGTCAAATCTGTTTCATATTTGGATGTTTGCTAATTTAAACGATAAGGGACGACTTAAAACTATACTGTTTTACAAACAAGTTGCATAACTCCTACTATTTCATCATAAACTTCCCTTATTTATGTAGTTATTTCCTCATACCTTCTTACTTATTCCAATATACAAGACTATCCTCTGATTTGGATCATATTTTTAACGTCGTTTTTTTCACGTCGTCTATTGTTAGATAAGTTGATGCTACTGGACTTTTAACGACATCGACGTAGGCATTTCATAAATTATATGGTCAATAAAAGTACTTGTTTGCGATTAAAACCTACCTTTGGAGCGTTTTTATTTTATAGCATACAAATTAAAGGCTTTTGAATTTTACTGAATTCCACTACAGAAAGTTCTGGTAATATGGCTCAAAATGTGCGATAGTCGTCAAAATGGAATATAGGTGTATCGGTAATGTTAATTTGTACAAGACATTTGGAGATCATTCCTTAATTCCTAGGGATCATGGTGTTATTATACCTTCTCCAAAGATTAAATTTTTATAGCTTGTTTTTAGATCGTTTCAAGTGTTTCCTACACTTCTTTCATTCCTATAGCTAGTAAATAAAATATTGCATATACGTGACTCAATTTTATAGTCTTACATATGCCAATTAGAACACAAAAGAATTTCTATATTTTTAACTTCATGAAATAAACTTAACGATTAATTAATCCTTCTTTAGTGTGTATTATAAAGAAGTGAACATATGACGGTAACCATGAGAGAAATCCTTAATATTTCATAATTGAAGAATTAAAAAGTCTGAAGTGGTACATTGACATAATTCCAAGAATATGAAGGGAGAAGCTAAATGGATGCTGCTCCTCTTTAGTATACCAATGCTGGAGACAACAATCGCAGGTTTTTTTAAAAAATAATCTCATTGACACTATTTTATTTACAAGCGAAAAATTTATGGAAATAAAATAAAAATCATGTTTATCAATGACTCTATTAACAGTGTATCTCTACTCTGAGCTTGTTAAAGAAAATTTGGATCGTTTAAATAGATTTTTTATGCATAAACTAACAATTAAATTAAATAAACCTCTATTGTTAAATGTTTTATTAGATTTAATTTAAGGGATTGGTATATATCGATCAAATAGAATTGTCTACTAAACATGAAAGCTTAAGATCAATTTGGTCTCCTTTTCCTAACACTATTTAGTCTTCTAAGGGTCATAAATGCCTGATTTTTTTATTGTCGTAGGTTTGAAACTTAACTGGTACGGAGCACAACGTCGATGCAGGGAAATAGGAAGCCGTTTGTTGTATAAACATCAAGCAAGGAACTTCCACTGGACACCCTATTATAAAAGACTGTCTTTGTGGATAGGGACGTTAGGTCTGACTTAGATTTTTATTGGTCATCAATAACGAACACGGTTTAGGAAATCCGATAATTAATATTAGTTTTAAAACAATCCCATCTTTAAGAATATTGGAATTTCGAATTCTGTATCCCAGATAAATTTGTTTTAAGCCACTAAACCCTTTACATTACATTGAATCTAAAAACATACTGAATCATCATTATAATTGAAAAAAAAACCCTCTTGAATTGCAATGATAATAAAATTGTGATAATGCCCATGATTATGAACAAATTAATTTTTATAAGGCGTATACTATTGATTTTAAATCGCTGTTTATGTGATTTTGTTTTATATTTTAACAATTTGTATAGCACTTTTGCAAGAGGGTCATTCAAAAAGTTCGTACACGTTTGTCCTAACTTTTTTATTCAACATCATATTATGTATCCAGATTCGGTATACATTTTTAACAACGAGCAAACTCAAATAATTTTAATTAAAAAATGAAATATATAGTTCTCAGATTTAAACAAAAAGGTAGGGTCACGGAGCAAAGTCATAATTGAGTAATGTATTAATTTTCACTTTATAGTATCTATAAAATACAAGTAAAATTTTAGCTGAAACGAATTAAAATTTATACTTTTAAATAACGTCTTGCTGTGTTACCTAAAATTCTATCTGTTAATGTAATATACCGCTCCATTCAAATGATATAAGTTTCTAAAATACATATGGACTTTATTAAAAGGCAAAAAACGAAGACATTGTACGACGTCACGGAGCAGGGAGTAGCAAATAAAGTTTGGTTTGCATTTGGTAATGTCTTTAACAACCTTTAAAAAATTCTGTATAAACCAGGAATGTATGCAAAATGAGCCGTCATAATGTATTTGTATAAAATGAAAAATGGATTACTTGAGTGGTAGCTAGTTTGAACCATACGATGGATGGTCTGCAATGAAACAAGTTATAATTAAAAATAGTTAAAAATCTTGTCAATAGAGTTAAAAAAAAACGTCCTTAAACCTGATGTGCGCTTTACTGTTGCGGAACTAATAGAGTTTCGCGGTAAAGAATTTGAAAACACTGACACTATAGTTCACAATTGTTAGCAAACTGTATGTTGAGTGTTATGGGTACCTTTTTATGAATGGAAAAGACGCTACAAACCGTTTATGAAATTGAAAAGATGAGTGATTATGAGAAATATTGTTATCGACGTTTTGATGTGAAAATTAGCGACATCAATCAACCAAACTTGTAAGAGATTTATTAGGACCCGACACTCCAAACCACACTTTAAGTAGATATGTTTTTTGCATAGAGCAGATTAATATCTGATTTGAATTATGCAAGTAGTTGTAGAGTGTTTCGGCTATTAAGAAGCCTCATCAGGGGTCACGGACATAAATCATGGTGTTTGTTTTAGGTGAGACCGGATTATCTCGTCACCTATATTCTTGTGTTTGCTGTAAGCTCTGATTGGTTGAGAATTAAATAAAGTTCTGCATTCCGGATTTCTAAGAATGGTGTTCCAATATTTCAGAATTCGTTTTTTCAGTCCTTTAACGCAAGGGTTAAATTTAGTAACCAGTACTGTAGGGTTACGTAATGAATGTTCTTTAGTCTTTTTGATGATGAGTTTTGATCGGTTTGTGTTGACCGTTTCCTTGATAATAGGATCAATTTCCGAAGTAGAGTAGCCTCGCTTTGATAAGTGCGTCTTGAAGTCATTAAGTGTTGCATGTAATATTTCAGGGTCAGTGGTGTTTCTTGCATGTCTAATGCATTCTCCTTTAATGAATCCTTTAAACACAGCTGGGCTATGAGCGCTCTGTCTGTGTAGATACTGAAAGTTATTTGTTGGTTTGATAAAGGACTTGATATCAAGTTTGTTAAAATTTTGAAATTTCTGTCCTTTATAAACTGTAGTATCAAGGAAGTTGACAGCAGATGGAGAAATTTCAAATGTAAATCTTAGATGCTTGTGACAGTGATTGCCGATATTAAAGAATTCTTCTATCTCTGGTTGCGTTCCATTGAATATTATGAAACCGTCATCACGGTATCTGCCGTGGAAGACAATTTTGCTGGCATGACGAAATTGTGCCATTATTTGCTTTGTGATTTGATACATTCTGATGTCACAGATCTCTGGACTGGGGACTGCCCCCATACTTGCTCCTATTATTTGTTTGTAATATTTTCCGTCGAATTCAAAGTAATTGTTTTCCAAGACGCATTTCAGTAAGAAGTTTAGATCCTCAGGGTCCGGATATGGAATGTCTAATTGCGTTTTATTGGCCTGTGTGTAAGCCTCATTTACTGATGAGAGAAGTTCGTTGAATTCCATGTTTGTGTACATGCTCGTCACATCATAAGTAATTAATAATGCGTTTGTTGGCAATGTGAGGCCTTCGATTTTGGTGATAAAGTCCGTAGTGTCTTTGATATAAGTTGATTGTTTTTGTACAATGGGTACAAGAAAGTAATCGCAATATTGTCCTATTTTCCTCGTTGGCGTATCGCATTGCGAGATAATTGGTGTGAAAATTAGCGACATCAATCAACCAAACTTGTAAGAGATTTATTAGTGTGAAAATTAGCGACATCAATCAACCAAACTTGTAAGAGATTTATTAGGACCCGACACTCCAAACCACACTATAAGTAGATATGTTTTTTGCATAGAGCAGATTAATATCTGATTTGAATTATGCAAGTAGTTGTAGAGTGTTTCGGCTATTAAGAAGCCTCATCAGGGGTCACGGACATAAATCATGGTGTTTGTTTTAGGTGAGACCGGATTATCTCGTCACCTATATTCTTGTGTTTGCTGTAAGCAATGATTGGTTGAGAATGAAATAAAGTTTTGCATTCTGGATTTCTAAGAATGGTGTTCCAATATTTTAAAATTCGTTTTTTCAGTCCTTTAACGCAAGGGTTAAATTTAATAACCAGTACTGTAGGGTTACGTAATGACTGTTCTTTAGTCTTTTTGATGATGAGTTTTGATCGGTTTGTGTTGACCGTTTCCTTGATAATAGGATCAATTTCCGAAGTAGAGTAGCCTCGCTTTGATAAGTGCGTCTTGAAGTCATTAAGTGTTGCATGTAATATTTCAGGGTCAGTGGTGTTTCTTGCATGTCTAATGCATTCTCCTTTAATGAATCCTTTAAACACAGCTGGGCTATGAGCGCTCTGTCTGTGTAGATACTGAAAGTTATTTGTTGGTTTGATAAAGGACTTGATATCAAGTTTGTTAAAATTTTGAAATTTCTGTCCTTTATAAACTGTAGTATCAAGGAAGTTGACAGCAGATGGAGAAATTTCAAATGTAAATCTTAGATGCTTGTGACAGTAATTGCCGATATTAAAGAATTCTTCTATCTCTGGTTGCGTTCCATTGAATATTAAGAAACCGTCATCACGGTATCTACCGTGGACGACAATTTTGCTGGCATGACGAAATTGTGCCATTATATGCTTTGTGATTTGATACATTCTGATGTCACAGATCTCTGGACTGGGGACTGCCCCCATACTTGCTCCTATTATTTGTTTGTAATATTTTCCGTCGAATTCAAAGTAATTGTTTTCCAAGACGCATTTCAGTAAGAAGTTTAGATCCTCAGGGTCCGGATATGGAATGTCTAATTGCGTTTTATTGGCCTGTGTGTAAGCCTCATTTACTGATGAGAGAAGTTCGTTGAATTCCATGTTTGTGTACATGCTCGTCACATCATAAGTAATTAATAATGCGTTTGTTGGCAATGTGAGGCCTTCGATTTTGGTGATAAAGTCCGTAGTGTCTTTGATATAAGTTGATTGTTTTTGTACAATGGGTACAAGAAAGTAATCGCAATATTGTCCTATTTTCCTCGTTGGCGTATCGCATTGCGAGATAATTGGTCTACCAGGTGGTAATTTCCTAATGCTGCACTGACCGTTTATTAGAGCATTGTAAATGTTTGCTGGTATTTTGTGGGTTTTCGGTAAAAGGTACAAATGCCCACATTTGAGTGAAGGTTTTTTGTCATTAAGAAATTTGTAAGTTTCTTTGTCCAGTGACCCATTTGAATGCATTGCGGCAAGTTTATTTTGAATGTTTTCATGCAGTTTGAGCATGTTGGGTTCAGATACTTGCATATAGTGTTTAGATTGCAGTTGGCTTTGTGCTTCTAAGACATACTGGTCTTTGTTCATGATGACAATTGTGTTGCTTTTATCTGCTTTTTAATAACAATGTCGTTGTTATTTTTAAGAGATAAAATAGCTTCTCTTTCAGCATTTGAGATGTTTGATCTCTTTTTTGCAATTTCCAAAGAGGAAAGTTCCAATTTTGTTTTATCTATATATTCCTCGAGTTCGCTGCATGTAAATGGCGGTTTGTAGCTAGATTTTGTGTTAAAGGGGTGAATGGCATTGTCGTCTCCGGTATCAAAGTGGAATTTGCATCTGAGTTTCCTGGCAAATTCTTCAATATCTTTGAGCAGCAGGCTTTTAGCATTGTCGCTTTTAGGCGTTGGAATAAATTTTAAGCCTTTGCTTAGAACTGAGAGTTCATGTTCAGATAAGTTGTGTCTTGATAGATTTAGAACAAACTTTCCCCCTGTGGCCGTAGTTTCCTTGCAGTGAGCTTTAACTCCCCGTAAATAATTATGAGTGCGTTTAGCATTTTTGCATTGCTTACTCCGTCTATTTATTCGTCGAGCCATTCAAATAGAGGAGCAGTAGGTGGTAAATATATTGTATATAGCGAGGCGCTATAGATCAACAATGAGTATTTCGATGAGATAATGAATCCGTCTAATTATCAATAAGTGTTGATAGATTAGAGGATAAGAAGAGTATGTGGCTATAAGAAACCGATAGTCAGATTCCGATGATTCGTTATGGCCACGTGCAAGGGGCGGTGTTTGTTTAAGAGCTGGTCCAATGGGTGGCTAATGCACACCAATTTTATAGTAATTAAGTCCTGTGGATCTTAAGCCGTCTGATATACATAGTGTCATAAAATGAGGCTAAAATAAAGATCCGTCTTAATATCATATGATGATAATAAGAGGATTAATATTTCACATGACTGTCTAAATCCTGAATGAATTCTTCCTGGTTTAAGCTGATCTGGTCCTTCACTATATCCTAGTATTCACAATCTGATATTCTCGTGGTTTTCTTGCATTAGTACAAAGTAATTGAATGAAAGGCAATATTGTATGTGTATACTTGAGCAAGCCGAAGTATTTGATTATAAGAGAAGCGTAAAAGACGATCTTTGAAGTAGCAGTTCAGTCCTTTACAAACATGTGCTGATTTGGTAAAGGAAGTGCTGGTAATAAAATGTCTTAGAAGACAATAGAAGCAAAGAGTGTGGCCGGATTGTTGGATGACCAAATAAACCACACAAGTCGATCGCTGTCCAAGGGAGGACGATGCACGGGATGATGCCGGTGGGACATTGTCCCTAGTCAAAGTCAATGCGATACGCCAACGAGGAAAATAGGACAATATTGCGATTATTTTCTTGTACCCATTGTACAAAAACAATCAACTTATATTAAAGACACTACGGACTTTATCACCAAAATCGAAGGCCTCACATTGCCAACAAACGCATTATTAATTACTTATGATGTGACGAGCATGTACACAAACATGGAATTCAACGAACTTCTCTCATCAGTAAATGAGGCTTACACACAGGCCAATAAAACGCAATTAGACATTCCATATCCGGACCCTGAAGATCTAAACTTCTTACTGAAATGCGTCTTGGAAAACAATTACTTTGAATTCGATGGAAAATATTACAAACAAGTAATAGGAGCAAGTATGGGGGCAGTCCCCAGTCCAGAGATCTGTGACATCAGAATGTATCAAATCACAAAGCATATAACGGCACAATTTCGTCATGCCAGCAAAATTGTCTTCCACGGCAGATACCGTGATGACGGTTTCATAATATTCAATGGAACGCAACCAGAGATAGAAGAATTCATCAATATCGGCAATCACTGGCACAAGCATCTCAGATTTACATTTGAAATTTCTCCATCTGTTGTGAACTTCCTTGATACTACAGTGTATAAGGGACAGAAATTTCAAAATTCTAACAAACTAGATATCAAGTCGTTTATCAAACCAACAAATAACTTTCAGTATCTACACAGACAGAGCGCTCATAGCCCAGCTGTGTTTAAAGGATTCATTAAAGGAGAATGCATTAGACATGCAAGAAATACTACCGACCCTGAAATATTACATGCAACACTTAATGACTTCAAGACGCACTTATCAAAGCGAGGTTACTCTACTTCGGAAATTGATCCTATTATCAAGGAAACGGTCAACACAAACCGATCAAAACTCATCATCAAAAAGACTAAAGAACATTCATTACGTAACCCTACAGTACTGGTTACTAAATTTAACCCTTGCGTTAAAGGACTGAAAAAACGAATTCTGAAATACTGGGACACCATTCTTAGAAATCCAGAATGCAAAACTTTATTTCATTCTCAACCAATCATAGCTTACAGCAAACACAAGAATATAGGTGACGAAATAATCCGGTCTCACCTAAAACAAACACCATGATTTATGTCCGTGACCCCTGATGAGGCTTCTTAATAGCCGAAACACTCTACAACTACTTGCATAATTCAAATCAAATATTAATCTGCTCTATGCAAAAATCATAATTACTAGAAGTGTGGTTTGGAGTGTCGGGTCCTAATAAATCTCTTACAAGTTTGGTTGATTGATGTCGCTAATTTTCACACTTTGACTAGGGACAATGTCCCACCGGCATCATCCCGTGCATCGCCCTCCCTTGGACAGCGATCGACTTGTGTGGTTTATTTGGTCATCCAACAATCCGGCCGCACTCTTTGCTTCTATTGTCTTCTAAGACATTTTATTACCAGCACTTCCTTTACCAAATCAGCACATGTTTGTAAAGGATTGAGCTGTGACTTTTTAAAGATCGTCTTTTACGCTTCTCTTATAATCAAATACTTCGACTTGCTCAAGTATACACATACAATAGTACCAACGTTTTACCAGGCAAGAAAACCACGAGAATATCAGACTGTGAATACAAGGATATATTGAAGGACCAGATCAACATAAACCAGGAAGAATTCATTTAGGATTTGGACAGTTATGTGCAATATTAATCCTCTTATTATCATCATATGATATTAAGACGGATCTTTATTTTAATCTCATATTATGACACTATGTACATCAGACGACTTAGCATCCTCAGGATTTGATTACCATTAAATTGGTGTGCATTAGGCATCCATTGGACCAGCTCTTAAACAAATACCGCCCCCTCGCACGTGACCTTAACGAAACACCGGAATCTGGCTATCGGCTTCTTAAGCCACATACTCTTCTTATCCTCTAATCTATCAACACTTATTGATAATTAGACGGATTCGTTATTTCATCAAAATTCTCACTGTTGATCTATAGCGCCTCGCTATAATCAATATAATTTACCACCTACTGCTCCTCTATTTGAATGGCTCGACGAATAAATAGACGGAGTAAACAATGCAAAAATGCTAAACGCACTCGTAATTATCTACGGGGAGTTAAAGCTCACTGCAAGGAAACTACGGCAACAGGGGGAAAGTTTGTTCTAAATCTTTCAAGATACAACTTATCCCAACATGAACTCTCAGTTCTAAGCAAAGGCTTAAAATTTATTCCAACGCCTAAAAGCGACAATGCTAAAAGCCTGCTGCTCAAAGATTTTGAAGAATTTGCCAGAAAACTCAGATGCAAATTCCACTTTGATACCGGAGACGACATTGCCATTCACCCCTTTAAAAAAAATCTGGCTACAAACCGCCATTTACATGCAGCAAACTCGAGGAATATATAGATAAAACAAAATTGGAACTTTCCTCTTTGGAAATTGTAAAAAAGAGATCAAACATCTCAAATGCTGAAAGAGAAGCGATTTTATCTCTTAAAAATAACAATGACATTGTTATTAAAAAAGCAGATAAAAGCAACACAATTGTCATCATGAACAAGGACCAGCATGTCTTAGAAGCACAACGCCAACTGCAATCTAAGCACTATATGCAAGTATCTGAACCCAACATGCTCAAATTGCATGAAAACATTCAAAATAAACTTGCCGAAATGCATTCAAATGGGTCACTGGACAAAGAAACTTACAAATTTCTAAATGACAAAAAACCTTCACTCAGATGTGGGCATTTATACCTTTTACCGAAAACCCACAAAATACCAGCAAACATTTACAATGCTCTAATAAACGGCCAGTGCAGCATTAGGAAATTACCACCTGGTAGACCAATTATCTCGCAATGCGATACGCCAACGAGGAAAATAGGACAATATTGCGATTATTTTCTTGTACCCATTGTACAAAAACAATCAACTTATATTCAAGACACTACGGACTTTATCACCAAAATCGAAGGCCTCACATTGCCAACAAACGCATTATTAATTACTTATGATGTGACGAGTATGTACACAAACATGGAATTCAACGAACTTCTCTCATCAGTAAATGAGGCTTACACACAGGCCAATAAAACGCAATTAGACATTCCATATCCGGACCCTGAAGATCTAAACTTCTTACTGAAATGCGTCTTGGAAAACAATTACTTTGAATTCGATGGAAAATATTACAAACAAGTAATAGGAGCAAGTATGGGGGCAGTCCCCAGTCCAGAGATCTGTGACATCAGAATGTATCAAATCACAAAGCAAATAATGGCACAATTTCGTCATGCCAGCAAAATTGTCTTCCACGGCAGATACCGTGATGACGGTTTCATAATATTCAATGGAACGCAACCAGAGATAGAAGAATTCATCAATATCGGCAATCACTGGCACAAGCATCTCAGATTTACATTTGAAATTTCTCCATCTGTTGTGAACTTCCTTGATACTACAGTGTATAAGGGACAGAAATTTCAAAATTCTAACAAACTAGATATCAAGTCGTTTATCAAACCAACAAATAACTTTCAGTATCTACACAGACAGAGCGCTCATAGCCCAGCTGTGTTTAAAGGATTCATTAAAGGAGAATGCATTAGACATGCAAGAAATACTACCGACCCTGAAATATTACATGCAACACTTAATGACTTCAAGACGCACTTATCAAAGCGAGGTTACTCTACTTTGGAAATTGATCCTATTATCAAGGAAACGGTCAACACAAACCGATCAAAACTCATCATCAAAAAGACTAAAGAACATTCATTACGTAACCCTACAGTACTGGTTACTAAATTTAACCCTTGCGTTAAAGGACTGAAAAAACGAATTCTGAAATACTGGGACACCATTCTTAGAAATCCAGAGTGCAAAACTTTATTTAATTCGCAACCAATTATAGCTGACAGCAAACACAAGAATATAGGTGACGAAATAATCCGGTCTCACCTAAAACAAACACCATGATTTATGTCCGTGGCCCCTGATGAGGCTTCTTAATAGCTACATGTACTTGCATAATTCAAATCAAATATTAATCTGCTCTATGCAAAAATCATAATTACTAGAAGTGTGGTTTGGAGTGTCGGGTCCTAATAAATCTCTTACAAGTTTGGTTGATTGATGTCGCTAATTTTCACACAAAACATGCTGCATTAAAAATTGTCTAGCATGAGTTTTATTTAATAAAACGAGATGAAACTTCACACCTCGACAAATGATTGTATTTACAAAAATGTTTTGATCTATTATCTTATAATAATAAAATGACAATTAGGAACATTGTCCACATATTTTTTGAATGACCCTCGTACGTATACAAATTCAATTGGATTTAATTCAATAGTTTAAGTACGTGTTAAAAAATCAATTGAGAGAATTTGATGATCACCTTTGGGGTACTTCATTCTTAACATATTTATTGTTTAAATCAGGTTGCTACCAAGATTCTGCCATCAACACTTCTATATCCATTGAAATGAGAATTCCTTCTATTGGAATGTGTCAGGAACTATGTTTGGAAAAAGAAAAAATGTTCTTTGCTGTAAAGGTGTTTATTTTTAATAGATATCAAGTTGAATTTAAAATTCGAATTTTATTTCAGGTAAGATACAATATACATGGCTGTACATGTATCAAGCAAAAACAACTTAAAGATAACTGTAATTATAACTCCAAATAATTATATAATCGAATTCTTAATTATAATTGATAATAATTTATAAACTCTTCCAGAATTACACTTGTGTATGCATTCAAAAAGAGATACTGCACGGGGTACATTCCCATAATCCAAAAAAGTGTTTCTACAGCTGCAGTACTTATACAGATAGGAAGACACTGTATGAGTGCGGGGGACCATATGCATACAACATTTATTTTTCAGGTATTTCCTTCTTTTGAAGGTCTTAAAAAAATGCAGTACATGCACTAAAGTTGAAAAAATAATGGGTAAACGCACAAATGTTTTTGAGCGTCAACGATTCTTGACAACAGAGAAAAAAAAAACATGGGAGAAATAACTGTCAATACTTCACTTTTTGTACTAAATAAAATAATCCCGGCCACTTTTCCCGATCAGAGGCTCTTTACAAACTGCTTCACAAGACTCATATGCGTGTTAATTTCATTTGGAACTGTAGCCTGAATTGCAATGTTACTGAGACGTTTTTATTCACATATGATGTATTTTTGAAAATGAAATAGACTGCATGAGCAATCTGGGATCTAACTACAAGTCAGAAGAAAAACATGTTTTAACATGTAAGTTCTTCAGCCTCGAAAGATTTAAAAATGCCTCTTTCATGGATAAAATCTAATCAGCTACGAAATAGCTGATATCAAAAATGTCAAAAGGAAAATATGAACTCAAAAGTAAGGGGGTATAAATAAACATGGAAGAAATTTAAAATGATAACCAGATTAAAACACATGTTAAAGCCAGCTAAGTTAAAAAGAAAGAAGAGTAAGGAAGTGTAGAAAGGAAATGAAAAAAAAAATTATTATTTTTAACTAGACAATTAAAATAGACTATAAGATCAAAACAATCACCAATACACAGGGAAGCTAGAGAAAATGATAACATGGCAATAAAATAACCCCCGCCACTTTTCCTGACTGAAGGCTCTTTATCAACTGATCTATAAGATTTAAATTTTATATGAAACCGTAGGCTATTAATATTGTTACTGTGTTATTTTATTTATATATGTATGAGGGCTGTTTGGAAATTATTGAGATATATACTTCTACTCCATAAAGGGCAGAGATAAATTTAGGAAATTTCGTCAACATTTAACGAAGAACAAATTAAACAGTTAGGCAAAATTTCAAATTTTTTGAATAATTAGATATTTTCTGGTGAAATCATAAACATGCATACCCAGATAGCAAGACTATGTTGGGCCAACATTGGCAAAAGGTTGTATGGTTGGCGTTGGGGGAACAACGTTGGGTCAACGTTGGACCAATGTAACCATGCCAACCTTCTCGACCATGACAGAATGCCTATGTTGGCCCAACGTTGGCCCAACGGTTAGCAACTTCCATTCTCTTTACTTCCCAAGGAAGGAGGGATGTTGATGTTGGCCCAACGTTAGCCCACTGTTTGTAATACACCCTTAAAGAAAGTGTTTTTTAAAGTTGGTAGTAGTATGTTGGCCCAACGTTGGCCCAATGTTTGTAATACACCCTTAAAGAGAAAGTGCTTTTTAAAGTTGGTAGTAGTATGCTGGCCCATCGTTGGCCCAATGTTTGTAATACGCCCTTAAAGAAGTGTCTTTTAAATTTGGTAGTACTATGTTGGCCCAACGTTGGCCCAATGTTTGTAATACATCCATAAAGAATGCGTCTTATCAAGTTGATAGTAGTATGTTGGCCCAACGTTGGCCCAATGGTTGAAATACGCCCTTAAAGAAGTGTCTTTTAAAGTTGATAGTAGTATGTTGGCCCAAGGTTGGCCCGATGTTTGTAATACATCCATAAAGAATGCGTCTTATCAAGTTGATAGTAGTATGTTGGCCCAACGTTGGCCCACTGTTTGTAATACATCCTTAAATATTGTCTTATCAAATTGGTAGTAGTATGTTAGCCCAACGTTGGCCCACTGTTTGTAATACACCCTTAGAAAACGTGTCTTATCAAGTTGGTAGTAGTTAATGTTGACCCGATGTTAGCACGAGTTTTCCTTGTTTAGGTGTTTCAAAGATGGGATATTTATATTGGGCCAACGCTGGCCCAATTATTATACTGCCAATTAAATAATGGTGTCATTTTTAGCTGCTGAGCTTTACGTTGGGACAACGTTGGTTCTAATTAAGTTTTAATTTAGATGCACATTCTGAAATAATTAAGAGGACATTCTATGTCCATGCTTTTAATTGTGTGACTGTTTTTGTTTAGAACTGATATTTGCAATATTTTAACTTTGAACTTAAGTGATCATAGCACCAAAAAGTGTTTCATTATATTTTTTGAATTGTGCATATGCATGCTTATTTATTTGAAATAAAACCCTTGATATAATGAATTTTTTCATGAGCGTTGTATTCATGAGAATTTAGAGAAGACTGAATAAGTTCTCAGGAACAGGATGTGAATGAAGCCTACATATACATAAATCAAAATGACACAGCTTTATAATTAAATTGAAACAAAAGTTAGGCGTTCGCTAAAGATTGGAGATCGGGAATCAAATTACACCAAACTGTGGAGTGAGCTGTCAGATTCAATTACTCACAGGTGGTGAGGCTCATAGACTGAAAATGCAGGGCAAGCAAGAAGAAGTGAAATTTAAATTTGTGGATTACTTAGTATACACTTGCTATAGTTGCATTTAGATGCGATGTACATGTAAGTATATCTATTCTTATTTATTCAGGTTAACTGTTAAAATTGATTCGGAATTCATTCTTTTCATGTTTTTGCACACAAGCACTGTAAGTTAAGGCTATTAAAATAACATCTTTTAAGTTGTTTCTATCTAATTCTTAACTGTCTATTACAGACACGATTGTAACGAGGAAATTAAGGTGCACTGATATTATAACACATTATTTTCTTTATTAAAAGATTTAAGTAATATTTATTCATAAGTTGAACCAGTAATTGTATTGTTTCTAATATCAAACTATTTTGTATATTTTCAGTCAGAGACTGCAAGGAAAACAAATGTTGTCGCGGTAAATAGCAAAGAAATCGAAGACCATGCATAAACAAGTATATAAAGTACGAGTACGTATGACAAAGATCAAGATGAAGAAAACGGGAGGCGACGAAGGACGGAAAAAGAGCGAGAATACAACAAAAAGACAGTAATAAAGGAAGTGAGCCCTGATTAAGAACTTTGAATTGATCATTTTTCATAATTTACCTCTATTGTCTATTTTAAAATTAATTTTGTAAATTATGATTGAATTGATGTATATAAAATATTTTCACAGCGAATCATTGGTAATGTTTTCATTGAACATGCAGTCCATGCATGCATTATGAATGCAGATTGAAATGTGTATTAATTTTTTTTAAACAGTCATAAAATAGGTTTATGTAAAGCATCACTTAACTAATTGCAAATGTTTCTATGTAATAACTACGTTGGCCCAACAATTTGCCATCTAACATTAATTGTAAAAAAGGGTCAACATTGGGCCAACCTAACCAACCAGTTGTTAAGGTTGGCTGTTAGTTGGCAAACACTAAAAACTACGTTTGCCCAACAATATGCCATCTGACATTTCAACAAAGGGCCAACGTTGGGCCAACCTAACCAAACAGTTGTTAAGGTTGGCTGCTAGTTGGCATACACTAATAACTACGTTGGCCCAGCAATATGCCATCTCACATTTCAACAAAGGGCCAACGTTGGGCCAACCTAACCAACCAGTTATAAAGGTTGGCTGTTAGTTGTCATACAATTATACCCACGTTGGCCCAACAATAAGCCAACATGTTGGATCAACGTTGGGCCGATGAGCAAAATTACCGTAGGCCAACGTAAGGTTACCAACAGTGGGCCAACGTTGGAAAAAAAAATTGGGCCAATGTTGGCCCAACTATGTCTTGCTATCTGGGCATATATGTCTATCGACCTGGAGCAGCATCGCTACGTCATTTCAGCCGATGTTTTCGCATGTGAAATGATCGGGAAGAGTAAGTTTACTAGCTCCTTTCATTGTTATCATTTATACCATACAAAAATTTAACTGTCATTTTTCTTATACGATTCTTTACAAAAATGTGTTGGTGTTACACTTATGTAAGTTTTTCATGCGTCATATATACAGGATGATTTAGTATCATAGTGCTTACTTAAAACTATTATAACCATTTAAACCTACATGTAAGAGTTAAAATAAAAAACAGAGGATATCTGAATTGTGTAATTTGATTATTGCTTCATCTAACGAGTTGAAATGATATATATTCGCGAGGCTTGCCGAGAAAATATATACTATTTCAACAAGTGGGATAAAGAAAATATCACATAACACAATTATAATTTTTTGCTTTACACGTATCTCATTTGATTTTCGCTTTCAAGAAAACTTTAAGATAACCCCTTTAAAACAATCATTATGAATGATTTATATAAAAAAATTATGACGTTGCGCTGTTGTAATTGACATGCCAAAAGAAAGTAGATCATAAAAAAAACTAAAATCTTTGATATCTGCATTTTTAAAACATGTGTGGCTATCTGTTGGCTTTTAATTAAAACAAACTAGTAAGGATCATTGATCATATGAGTTCTACTCATCCTTTCATGCGCCATATGCTCAGTCAGTTAGGGTGCTAGGCACTTGTAGATCGATGGTAAGTAACAGGCGCGTAGCATCGTTTTTGGAAGTGGGGGGGCCAACCTGAGAAAATTTTTTTTTACTTACCTGAAAAAGTTGACAAGCAAAAAAAAAAAAAGGAAAAATTCGCCCAAAGTCGAAAATCCGATTTCGTGGGGGGGGGGGGGGGGGGGGGGGGGGGGGTTAGTGGCTAACTTTTTTCAAGACCAACTATCTTTCAATTCAAACTTTTTGGGGTAAATTTTCTTTCTAACACTACCCTTTGCTGAAATGTGGGGGGCCAACCTTCCTTTCAGTAAACATTTTCTATAGTAAAGGTAATGTCGGCAGAAGACGTGGGGGGCCTGGCCCCCCCCCGGATACTACGCCCCTGAGTAAGCATAATTGAAACGGCTTTTTCGGCCTAGCCCAACAACGGTCAACGAAATCTCTTTCATCTACAGTATATCTGCTTGGAGTAACAGTTCTCATGAAAAAAAAATAAATTGGGAGGGGACACCATGAGCAAGTGCAGATAGAATTTGAAAATGCATTGAGGTATTCAAGTATTTGTCTTGCTTCTAACGAAACATTTTCTCATTATCACTCATTTATAAGGCAGAAATTTTAACTTAAAGTTTAATGTTTGAAGAAAGGGGTTATGTCAAAATCGGAATTGATATTAATAAAGCACCAAACAGTGGTTTATTTCATGTGTAATATCCTCAACACGTATGAGATAAATGGTTATCAGACCACCATAAAAAAAATTTTGATTTTCAATTTCATGAGATATGTATCATTATATCATTATATTATCCTTTTCTTTAAAAACACCGTTCATTTCCTTATAACACTTCTTGTTTTCAGAGTAATTTATCCATTCGATAATATTTCAGAAAGACCATTTCTCTTTGCAAATAAAAATGATAATTTACATAGTTACTGAAACTTATACAACGTAAGATCCATTGCAAGTGAAACCATCATATGGTATTTGCTATATCTCGGGGTGGCATAGGGGTACATGTAGGGTGCTGTGGACAGTTTTATTCAATTAAAAATAAATAGTTATAATTATTTAATATATAATTAATTTTGCTGTTACTTTTTAAAGTTAGAAGGCAACGTCATTTGTTCATGTAAACATGATCGACGATGAATTGATGTAAAGAAAATGTATATCTGAAGTACACAAAATAAATACATTAGGAATAGTTTAGAAATTAAATGAAATGAATATATATATATATATATAATTACATTAATCAATAAATTTACTTCGATCAACATACAAATTGAATAATATCTTTTGGCATTCTTAATGAAACTTTTGATTTTTATTGTAGTCAAAACGTTTGAAAAAAGCACAGAAAAGAAGGTTGCAATGTGCATGGCTCTACAGTGTAGTGATTCTAAATATCTAAGTAGAAATTGCAGTATTTCACTCCAAAGTCTTTGCAAGAATGAAAGTAAGTGTATGTTTTAGATTACCTGGAACACTCGGGTGACCTATTGCCACCTGTTTTCTTCCTTGTGCGTCGTCCGCGTAAACATTTGTGCATTTGTTGCTTCTTCTCCGTAACTGCCGAACCCATTTTATTGGAGCTCTAGAAACTTCTGAACTTGTTATTTATTACTTATATATACATGTAACTTGAGACAAACAATTGAATTACTATGTTTTGAAAGTTAAATTATTTCACTAACTGTTCGTCGCAGATTTTGAAAAAATACGCAAGGTTTAAATCAGCTTAAAAGGCGGTTACGCTGTGAATTCATAAGGCAAATATTCTATCTCGATGGGAATATATTGTGAAAGACTACTTATGATCAGTAATCATAATACATGTAGTGAACAAATTCTTGCATTGGAGTATTTGTTTTCGTGATAATTGATAATTAAAGCCTAAAAGGCACAAAAACACCTGAAGATTGATGATGAAAAGTTGGAAGAATTTCGGTCGTTCATAAACATGGAAAAGGGATGGATGGATCCGATGAATGGTGTAAGACTTTGTATATGAACGAGAGACACAAATAAACGATTTAGAAGTAATATATTGGAATATAAACAAAGTTAACAATATGACTGACAGAAATATCGAATAGGTTAGACGACGGACGTCCTGGCACTGTCATACACGTGCTCCACTTACAGGTCTATTTTTCTTTGACGGGAAACTAGTCTAATACACACGTGACACCCGGTCTCATAAAAATCAGTAAAAATCAAATATCTACGTAGGAGACACTTATTCGAGTCATTTAAGGTGATTCGACTGTGACGAAATCAAATCTACCGCGCAACTCGAACTGCTAAAAATAGGCTGATCACTGCTGATGTGTTACATGTACTAATAATTTTGTCTAATTTTGATATCAAAGTAATTTAATGGACCTCAAGCAACAATTTGATAGACAATAAAGTAATTTTCAATAGAATTCTTATAAAATTATTCAACATTGGCTTTTCGAGTATTATTCCGACATCAGGGATTAACGACAATTCCCTGGCCGTTTTCCGCTACCATGTTGACAGAGACGGTCTAAGGGTCTCTTTTATTTCCAAAGAAAAACACTTTATTCGGTTGTTTTTGTATGCAAGAAGTGTACTAATCTATGCTGATTGGTACCTTACAACAACTGTCCAGGCGATTTCATTTCTAGGTACCATCTGCACGACAAGATCAAGATGTAGACCATGATTTTCAAGTAAGCAGGTAAGTACAACAAAACGTTCCGACCGAGCCTTCACTTATTCTTTAATGACACTATGTTTAGTACGTAATGTCTTCTTAGTAGACGAAATTTATTTACATCATTATGAAAGGTTAGCTCATCGAGTAAATGCAGAAGTATAATCAGATCAATGTACGTTTTTATCTCATCTCCAAAATAAAGAGGGGAAATCACATGGCTGCTATGGGAAGTGCATGAAATGAGTCAATGACACCATTGTTGTAGTGAGTTCTTTTTCTCGTGATAACGATATTTTTTACTTGTCTTTTCAAACAATACTGAATTTATTGACACAAATGAGAAAATAGCAAAAAAATCATGCACATTTGTCATTGACTGAAAAATAGGTCCCATGTTTATGATTTTTGAAATATGAAATTATGTCTTACCTACAATCTTGATGTAATGATAATTAGGTGATGTGCAGTGTAAAATAACATGTAAAAAAAAAAGAAAAAGAAAAAGACAGTTGACCAGTTCTCATATTTTTCTTATTTTATGAAACATTATTGAGGCCCCTGATTCTTGTTTACAGCACACATTTATTTATTAGTTTTTGTTAGGATGTAAATTATAAGGAAGGTCTATACAATTTAAGAGATGTCTATAAAAGTCACATATATGTTAAATACTGTCAGATGAGTGATTTGTTATCTCAATAGGTTTTTAATAACTCCAAAGGAACAAACTGGAGATTCCATCAATAGGCAATAAAAATGTACAACCTTAGTTAACACTTGGCAGGATAATCCTTTTGATCCAGATGCACTAAAAGAAAACTGTGATGCTGAAACCATCTGGCTGGGTATGAAAAAAATATAATTCTAAATTGATAAAGTTTTGAAATTTTAAAAAGTAAACTTGCTAAAGTGATTATAGTACTTGTCATACTGATAAAATGTACATAAGATAACTGTAAACCGGAAAATTTCTCCCCATTTTATTGTTGCCCCTTTGGCTCTGACATCGGTTGGGCGAATTCAAAGAAGACAGTATATTTTCTTAAACAAACTAACAATTTTGT